GGAGGACCCTGGGACCACCCACCGACAGCTGGGCACACTCAAACGCCCTTTCTTTTCTAGAGAACTTTGAAGGACGCACAGTGGAGGCCACGGCCCCGGAAGAACTGCTGGTGATGGTGAGTAACTCCCTGGTGCTGATGCCTGCTTTCCGTTAGTGCTGCAATCAACACAGATTTCTAGTACTGGTGAGAGACAGAAATAAAAATGTGTTAATTTACCCAGAGAGATCAAAACGTGTAACATGACTATTGGTTCATGTATCAATGTCAACAGATCTACAGATGAATAAAAACACATTATTTCATTTTGCGATTAAATGACACAAATGCATTTTTAAATTTACTTATATTTTGTGTGTATGGATGTTTGCCTGCATGTGTCTGTGTACCACAAGCATCTTGGTATCTACGGAGGTCAGAAGAGTGTGCTAGGAATTGAACCCAAGTCCTTTGGAAGAGCAGCCAGTGCTGCTAACTCCTGAGCCCTCTCCTCAGACACAGATGCATTTTAAAGTACTGTGGGACAACAGGAAGTAACCAGGCACAGGCATCTCCGAGGATAATCTGAAACCACGCCAGCAGTGCGCTAGAGCTGGTTCACACTGGCTTTCTAGAGCCAACTGCTAAAGTTTCAGGATCTTGAAAGCTAGCTGTTAAATAGCCATTATTAAAAATTACAGTCAGCCGGGCGGCGGTGGCGCACGCCTTTAATCCCAGCACTGGAGGCAGAGCCAGGCAGATCTGTGAGTTCGAGGCCAGCCTGGTCTACAGAATGAGTTCCAGGATGGTCAGAACTGTTATACAGAGAAACCCTGTCTTAAAAAACCAAATAAATAAATATAAATTGCATGACCATACAATTAGCAAAGGCAGTAAGCACTCAAAAGCTCTTTCTAATCATTTCACATCTTGCTACTGTCTATGTGCACGAGGTTATTTTCATCTATGGTGTCTGTACAGGGGAGAGTCTAGAAAATGGCATACTGCACATCTCTCCCCAATCCTCATTCAGTAAGGTCACCTTGAAGACGTGAAGTCAGACATGGTGAGAACATTTGCATCATGCAGACTGGCAAACGGCTTCTGTATTTAGGAGCCGAGTAACATGCCTTCAGTAGCATACCATTGAACCAACCACTGGCCCATGAAAACATTTAAGGTGTGAAGAAACTTCTACTTGAAAGATAGGCTGAAAAAGCATAAAAACAGGTCTTTAGGGAATCATTCTCAAAATAAAGTAGACTGAAGCTGGCTGTTTTCTTCTTCAGCTAGAATCTACAATTATTCTACAAACATGACTTTCACTACCACAAATATCAGTGGCTGAAGTGTTCAGGTGAACAATCAAGTGAACAACCTGTATACCATTATACATCAAAATGAATGTGTTCACTGACTTAACTAAATTATGTTATTAGGGGTTGGTTCCTTTCTTTTCTCACCGCCAAACTTGTGCCAAGAGTAGCTTGTACTCAGTCTACTGATTTATCCCGTTGGCCTTGGCTTCTGCTTCCATCACGACTGAAAATGCTTTACAGTCACCACTGTTCTCCTAACATATGCTTTCTAGTCCTAAGTTCTAAGGCCTCTCTGGTTTGTTTCTGCCTCTAGCAGATTTCATTGGTAGAGCAGATATTCTACCCTCTACCCTAGACTCCGCCTTGGGAAGAACGGGGATCTCCGGTGCAATGCAATCATTTGCTGCTCTTTTAGTCTCTGTCACTTTGGGCACATATCCTCTTTTCTGGGTATCTGTTTTCTCTGACATGAAAAGATGAATTTTGTGGCCACCTCCTTCTTCAATTTGGAAAGAAGTCACCATTAAAACCTTTTCTCTGAGCATTAGTGCTTAGTCCATGCCACCATCAGGCAAATGTGGCTTCTCATCTTCTCTCTGGTCCTTGGGTCTAAGCACCAAATATTCTATTGCCTGTTATTTCTTGGCTCTGGGCCAGGAGGTGTGACCTTGAAGAGGTGACATTTCCACCTTTCCAACTTACACAACTTGAATGAATGAGAGCCACACAAGCCAAACCAGTAAGTGCTCAGGATGCCTGTGACATCTGTCAGCTGCAGGTACATTCCTATACTGGAGTGGCATGTACTTTATCTTCATAATGTCTTTTCCCTAGAGTTGATCCCTTCAACTCCTTAATCATTTCTGCTGCTTGTATTGAATTCCCTCAAGTCTAGAATTCTCTTCTTCTCAGAGTGCAGAAATCAGCAAACAGTATTGCAGATGTCACTTCCTCCTCCAGTGTTACAGACAGGATTTACAGAGGGGAGTGCTCATTTTGCTAATGGCTTAAAGATCCCATCAGTCAACAATATTCAAGTTCTGTTCTCATCTGGAGGTCAGAGCTTCGGGTTCTCCCAGCTCATTATCCCAAAGACTGATCTTCCTACAGCTGCTTTCTTGCTCACTGTATCCAGGAGGCATCCACCTAACGGGTCAAAGGGCCCACAGTGGCACAGTCGCCCCTGAAATTGAAAGCGGGAAAGTACGGCTACCTCGCGCATACACGTACACAGCGGGCCAGCGACACTTACCTGAATGTTAGATTAGTCAGCAAGTCGGCAGAAATGAATCTAAACGGTGGAGGGCAAAGGCCAATGGAAAGTCACAAGACAAAGGAAACACACAGGGCCCAGGCTGATTAAAAAGATAATGAGTTGTGGAAAGTAAGGCTGGGTGCCAGCCAAGAATTAGTCTTTAACAAAGGTATGCCAAAGGATCCACTGCAGCCATGTTGCACATTGATATAGTGGTTCTTTTATAGGAGCTGAAGGGCCAGAACAAAGCACCAGTCGGATTCAAGCGCAGCTCCACCCCTCTCCAGTTTGTTGTCTGCTCACATAGAAGCTGTTTTCCCTTCATCCGCACAGGCTTATCCAACATGGCGGTCCCATAATAGGTTGAAGCCACATTTTAAAAGGAACTCTCAGAACTGGTCCAGCCAGAGATCTTTTGGCCCGCTGTAGGATCTTCATGTTCCTGGCTGGAATTAAAAAGTAAAGCAAAGCAGCAGTAGCTCTCTGAGAGCTCAAGGCCAGCAGCCTTATCAGTGAAAAGGGAAAGAGGGACATTTCTTTCCTAAATTGTTCAAGCCTATAAAGGTCTCCAAGCTGCCTGGTAACCACAGACAGGTTTAATCTCCACGTAGGGAATGGGAAATTCTCCCTACCCCCAATGGATGGCCAGATATGAGGTAGGGGCTGACCACAGGGAGGTGGGGAGATGGAGACACGGCCAGATATTCTATTTGGCCCCAAAATCGCAACTCTGAAGGTTCTGTGGAACTACTTGCCTGAAATATTGTTTTGATAAATAAGCCATATCCTTGTGGAATTGCAATCTCCAACTGTTCCACTGGCACGGACATCTCTGCAGTGACAGCACATGCCCCAGATTGTGGAGTTAACTTGAATTAAATTTCAGATGTGGGGGAGCTAAGGGAAGAGGTGGTGGTGGGAGGTTTATGAACAGTATGCTGAGGCTCTGATGTTGTCATAACCAGATGGCTTCAACTGTATCGTTTAAACAAAAACAAACATGGCCAGAAATAATATAATAACAGGAGAAGCATTGAGCAGCTTCATCTACACCTGAAATTCCATCAGTTTTCAATCCACAGCGAAGTCCACGTTGGAAATTCTACAAGTATGTTAAATTCCAGAAGAGATCTTTATCCTACCAAAAGCCAGATGTCAGGACAACTCCCTTCCTGAGCGCACATGCTCTGAGTCCTCCATCCTCAACCCCAGGGCTGTGAGGGAAGTTCAGGAAAGCAAATCTGCTTCACCCTGCTGGGAGCTCTGAGGAGCAGGCCAGTAGAGGCACCTTTCTGGAGCTTTGTTCTTACTATTCCCAGAGGAAGCAAACTTCACTTCCAATTTTGTACCTAAGCACTCCAGAAATGGAACTTCCTCCACTCCTTATGTAATCTTCAGGATATGACATTAGACGATCTGGTACTCGGTACTCGTGTGACCTCAGGCATGCGCCTCCCTCCATTTTCACCTTTCCCAGCTACAGACCAACACTACCTATCACCTGTCCAACCAAACTCATCGAGAGGACACTACAGACGAAGGTCTGCTGAGAACGGAAGGCAGCAGAACAAACAGAGGCAGTGTGGGCAAAGGAGATGTGCCCACTGGATCACCACATCTGTGTACCAATTTGGAAAGCGACAGTGGTCAGCAGCCAGCACACAGGGAACCAGACACTTCCTTACAGAGGTCACACTTGGGAGGAAACTGAGAAGGGGCACAGAAAGGAATAAACAAGTCCGACTTGTGAAAAAAAGTGTCTCTAGCTCATACATACCCAGTCCAGTAGTAGGTACACAATGAAAACCAGAAACTTTGTGAAGAGCAGCCACTGAAAGGAAATGGAATGTGAAAAGGGCCGAGTTTCCATCTAAGGTTAAATAATGCAACCTTGGCCAAACAATGTATTTTTATTCCACTGTCTGGCCAGTGCTGTGGAGCTGGGAGCTCCATGCATTCCTGTGAGCTCACTGCAAGTTAAGACCTTAGTTTCCCCAGAAACACATCAGTCAGTGACAGAACCCATCAGAGACAACAATTTCCCTTTATTTAATCTCCATATTCATGTCCCCTGAATTTTTTTTTTTTTTTTTTTTTTTTTTTTTTTTTGTATTTTGTTAGGAGAAAAGAGATTGGGGATTAGGTATGAACACACACAGGGTGCAGAAAAGGCCCACTACAATTGCTTGCCTTGGCAGAGTAGGACCTGGTCCCAGTCTCTCATCAGGACATGGTTGGCAGCTCCTCAAGGAGGACAAGACTGGCAGATGCTCAAAAGGAAACTTGAGATTATGGAGAATAAATAAATCCCTACTGCTTCTTGGACATTTCAGATCTAATCCCTGAAAGATGAAGATCAAACCAGGGCTTCAAAACCCCATAAGCAAGAAACTCAGACCCAAGAGACAAGCCAGGTGAGTGAAACAAAAGACCAGAGATACCACACAGTACAAAATAGTAATTATTTATATTTTCAAAAAGAAAAAATTAACATTTGGAAGTCTCCCCTTTGGAAGAGGGGCCAATCAGAAGTGACAGGACGGCTCCTATGCAGGCGACAAGTCAGGTACAAACAGCTGGGCAATCTGGGCTGGCATTTTTTTCCACATAGCAATAATAATAAAATTTCTTTTTCTCTTTCTTTTTGTTTTATGTATTTTCTGGATTTGTTTCTTCTTCTTTTTTTTTTTTTTTTTTTTTTTTTAGAAAAATGGAGGAGGAAGGGAAGAAAAAATAAAATCAGAGAAAAATGCCAAAAAAAAACCCCACCATTTTCCACAATATCTAAAAACAGAACCATAGTTCTTGTCAAGACAGTATGAATTCTGGATGAATTATTTTTTCCAGTTTTCAACACCAATAAGGATTTTGCAAAAGCCACTACCATCAAAACACTCATCTTCCAGATCAAATCGCCTCCTCCCCTCTGCCTTCATGTACCACTTTTCCTAAGAGGACAAAAGGATGGGCTCTGTTCTTGCAAACAGTAAGTGCGAACGAGAGAGCTCTTCGGATACTTGAATGGTAGTGAGGAGTTTTCACAAATATCCAAGGTTTAGCACAGTTGGAAGGACTAAAATTTGCTTCTTTCAACATAAATACTACTGGAATCCACAAACTGATTTTTGAAAAAAAATTCTTCTTTCCTTTTCCCTTCTCTTAAAACTAAATGTCCTTTTTTTTTCCTTTTTGCTCCGGGCACCTGACGATCTGCTCTGCTCAGTCAGATGCAGGCAGGCTTCTCCGAAGTACCACTGCTGGGATGTGCTTGGGGCCAGCGCCTAAACTGCATCCCAGTGTCAGACTTGGTCAGGCCACAGGGAACACGGTGACACGGCAACAGGGTTTTCATTAGGTTGAGTAGCCCCAAGTCCTGGGCCCTTCCCTCCCCCCCCGTTCCCCTAAGTTATTTAGTGCTGTTTTAAAGTCTGGGTCATGGTGCAGTCTTTCCCCCGACACAGAGTAAAAGCTCCACAGATTACGCTGTCTACCTGGTGGTCAGTGGCAGCAACGGTGGCTGCTGCTTCTGGAAAATAAATGGAGTCTCACAACTGGCAGGATCTTAGGACTGCTTCAGGCGTTTTCGTGGGGGCCCCAGGAAAGGGCATTGTGCCGAAGCCAGAGAGCGGTATGCTTCAGCCACTAAGTGGGGATGTGACACCACCATTGACTTCCACCCAGAGGTCTCCAAGACATCCGAAGCATGACTAGGAGAAATGTGGAGAGAGAAATTACCAAAGGGAGTGTGCACATGGACCAAACAGCTACCTAGATAGCCTTCTTTTTCAGTGTTTGGTGTAGAAGGTGCTAATGCAATCAACAGTACCCAGACAGAACCCTTAACATGCATAAGAATGTGCTTGCTAGACAATGTGCAGACTGGTGACTGGGCCATGGCTCTTCTAATCCCCAAAACTTGGACTCAGAGGCACTGCACTCTCAAAACGTGGGCTGTTCATCACATTCAACATTGATGATATTTATATTCACAGATGCTAATCAAGAGAAAGAGCAAGGGCTTCCTTAGATATCCAGCTCTGAGCTCCCACGTGGTGTTGCCATGTACTAGTCTTGTTAACCACAAGGCACATCACAGCCAGGGCCCATCTGATGGTCAGAAAAGAGAAGGTAATAACCACATTTGCTCAATGGTTGAGTTACCTTCTAAAAAGGAACAAGCACATGTCCAACATACAGTGAGCTCTGTACAGAACTGATACTTACTGGTCCTTCCCTTCCTCTTCTGTCTCAGGCTAACACCTTAGAAACAACCATGTAACTAGGCCTAGAAGACATATTTCCCATATTTGGGTATTTTCTGTATTAAAACTGTCCATTCATCTACCTGAACATCTTAGCCTTCTTAATTCCAAGGTGTTGTTGTGAGGACTTTTTTTTTTTTTCGAGACAGGGTTTCTCTGTGTAGCTTTGCGCCTTTCCTGGAACTCGCTTTGGAGACCAGGCTGGCCTCGAACTCACAGAGATCGCCTGCCTCTGCCTCCCGAGTGCTGGGATTAAAGGCGTGCGCCACCACGCCCGGCGTGAGGACTTTTTTCCCCTCCAAATTTTGCTTCCCATCAGGTAAGGCAGTATAGAGTATGTCCCAATGAGAAGAAGGACTACAGATATAAAGCTCCTTCAAAGTACTTTAGAAAGTGTTATGGTGAGGTCACCTGTCACTTGGAGTGAAGTAACCGATCTGGTAGACTATTTCCCTTTTCAAAATAGTCTTTGACAATCAGTTAATGTCTCTTCTCGTTCCACGAGCCCACCAGAGACTATAAAACATATTTGACTAACTCATAAAAAAATGAACCTCTGTTCTCCTGGAATCACTCTATCTTTTTTTTTGCCAGTGAAATTACAGTGAGGTTACTGTCATTTGGAGCACACAGCTTTTCCAGGCCAGCAAGTTATCACTACTCAGCTACACCACTGTTTGGAAGTAAGGGGCTTCACTCATGACTAGAACCCGATCCATGCAAGCAAAACCATTTCACACTGTCGAGCTGAATAGAAAGATGAAAATTCTCTACTTACTACCAAAAGGTTAATGAAGCTACTTGCTCACTTTACTCACTAATTCAAAGTCTTTCTTATTTCGTTATCCCAATTATTCTGAAAGATGAACTTTGAAGATGCTACTCACTAGTTGATGAAATCCACTGCCTGAGTTTTCAGTTGATCTGCGCTGTGGAGGTCAGCCAGGATGAGAATTTCTGCAGCGTTCTCCACGGAGAGGTTACTGCAGAGGGCATCCTCACACATGACCTTCAAACGCTCCAGGGCATACTGTAAAACAAGCAGAGCTGGCGTCAGAGCAGCAATCGCTCAGGGCTGGCGCTACTGAAGTTGTTCTCTTCAGGGGCACTGCTGTCCAGCTGGTACGGGAAGAGAACTGCAGAGCGCAGGAAAAGCCACCCCACAGTTAGAAACACAGCCACTCTGAAGGTAGTTGTTTAAGCCTGAAACGAAGACAACCGAAGTAAGGGTGGCATCTATCAAATTCCGAAGTCTACCTGCTAGAAAATGGCAGTCAGAGCAGAGCCCATCCCAAAGCTCACTGTATCACCTGTCTTTCTTAAACAATCACTACCTACCCTGACAAGGAGGCATTAGCCAGCCAACACTATACTACAACTTCTGCAGTCTTACTACTTATAGCTGACTGAATTAAAGCACAGCTCTTTTTGCTAAGCAGTGCCACTACCCTGGCAAGATACCCCAAATGACCTATCAAGGTGCGAAAAGGGACCCTGTGGTGGCCTTCACTAGCATCTCTGCCATATACTGTTCCTGAGAGTGAACCAAGGGCTTCTCTGAAATCGGGAAAGAGAAATCAAATCCTATTTTATTGGGGTTGAGGTTAAGATTCTCAGGGTAAAGGGACAAAGCAGCAGAAACCCTGGTTCCAGTTCCAGTTTCAAAACTTCTATTTTCTAAACAGACACCACAAACATCTGGAAACAGAAGGTTTGGGCTAATGCTAGGCACACTGATCCAGCTGACTAGGCTGATGCCACTCTGCTACTTGCCCTAATACAGCACGGACTTACTGAGGAATAAAGAAGGCATGAAGCAAAATGCCATTCATTACTTCACAGGGGAAGCATTTGCTATGAGGCTTTCCAGTCTCTCTACAGGGCCTTCACCCTCAGGCCTCAGAATTCGGCGACACAATGCCCCTCCAGGCTGAACCATGGCAATCAAACCAAGACAATTTTATTATGAATTTCAGGCAAGGAGGCATACCTGCTGGTACTGTGATCTCCTGCCTGCAGCAAAAAGGAGCTTTATTGGTTTTGGTGCGGCTTTAATTTCTTACATTTGAGTAACTGGAAAACAGTTTCCATGGAAAAGGGGAATGATACTAGACAAGCAAGCAATGAGAGTGCTGGGAAAGGTGAGTAGATGCTCCGTCTTTCTACAGTGCTATTTCGACTGCTCCTCTTACCTGTCTTTACACATTCTTTTAAAAGGACTTCTGCTGTGAATAGCTCTGATCCCGCCTGCATAATTAGACAAAAGTAGCCACTCTTGTCTCTTGGGGGACAAAGTTTTTTTTCTTAATTATGCTTCTGAAAACCCTGCCTAATGGCAGTACTTACTCAGGAGATTGAAATTGTGTCTCCCAGGCCTGGCCAGCGTGTTTTGTTTTGTTTTTGGTCTAATTACACATGTCCCCAGGAGATCAGAAAGGCTCAGAAGAAGCTGTTTCAGCCTCCAGGGTAAATTCTAGATGTTTAGATCCTTCCATGAAAGACCTTTTACTGTTTTCCTAAACTCATAGAGAGGTGTAAAGGTAAAGCATGCTTTCAAATAGGCTTGAAACAGGGCTGCCCAGTTGGAAATTCTGAATGGAATTTGAAAATGCACCCATCAGCTATCTCCCCTGCTTCCCCTTTTTCACTGAGACAGGGTGTCTCTGTGTAGCCCTGGATGTCCTGGAACTCACTCTATAGACCAGGCTGGCCTTGAACTCAGAGATCCGCCTGCCTCTGCCTCCCGAGTGCTGGGATTAAAGGGTGTACCACCATTGCCCAGCAACTTCTCATTCATAAATTTATAGCATTATAGGGATTCAACTGCTTTCTATTTTAAAATCAGAAGGAAACATGCTGCATTGAAACCACCACTCACATGGCAATTCAGGCTAATTTCCATGCCTCATGCCCCACTGTTTTAGCTGAGAATGAAAACCCAGAGGCAAGCCGGGCGGTAGTGGTGCACGCCTTTAACCCCAGCACTTGGGAGGCAGACACAAGCGGATCTTTGTGAGTTCGAGGCCAGCCTGGTCTACAAAGCGAGTTCCAGGAAAGGCGCAAAGCTACACAAAGAAATCCTGTCTCGAGAAACAAAAAAAAAAAAAAAAAAAAGAAAAGAAAACCCAGAGGCACGGAAGTTTTTAACTTTGGCTCTAAGGATGTATAACTTTGAGTTTCAGTGTTTCTGTCTAAAATGTGGGCTTTGCAGTACTCATCATTTTCACAGGACCTCAAAGATAAGAGATTAATGACCTGAGGTATAAAAGCACAAGTGACCACTTCATTGGAAACCAGACCCAGGTCAGACAGATCCAGAGCAACTCTGAAAATGGGCTTGGACCAGGCTTGGGTACACATAGCTAAACCCAGTACTTAGGAACTAAGCAGGGTGACTGTGAGGTCAAATCCAGCCAGGGCTATAGAGCAAATCCCTATCTCAAAATAAACAAAAGATGAGCACTGGACTGTGCTAATTTCACCCAGCTTAAAGACAATACTTTCTTACTATCTCTATTAAAACCGAGTTTCTCCTAGTCAGAAATGAGGTTGACTAGAAGGGTGTAGAGTTTTCATGTTGCCAACTACTAATCAAGTCTGGAAAGGTGATAATAAGAATAGTTACTATTCCAATCTTCATCAAAAGCAATGATTGGGTCTAATGCCTCACATTCAGCAATACTTCAAAATGCTGATTATGGATAAACCTCTGTTGTAAGTCTAGGCATCCTCCTTTGTCCTCAGACACAAAAGGAGGTATAAGGAGACAATTCTCCAGAGCAAAACCTGGAAAGGCTCTGGTGCTCTTAGCTAGACCCACTTCTTCCTCAGAAAGTACTGGGACTATGACACAACAGGATGCGGTAGCACTCCCTGCAAGCATCTGCTTTCTCATGAGGTCTACTGCTGGCAGCTAAGTAAGCGCTTTAACTCTTCCACATCAATTGCTCCTGCCTAATACACAGGGAGCACTTCTACAGGGCAAATATCCATCTTCCTGTCCACCTCACAAGTGCTATCTGCACAGGTCCCAGGACATAGGCAGGCAGCCTCTGGGCTCCAGCTGATGTGCCTCTACAATGGAAGTCAGTTCCCACTGTGTTCTGAGGTCCTCTGATCAGACATGCTCCTTGAGAAAAATGCTTCCAGGGTCAACTGAGTTGGAGAAATGTTGTCTGTCATTACTTATTTTCAGAAAACTCTCAGTAAACAGAGTGTGGTGGCCCTCACCTTTAATCCCAGCCAGCACTTGGGAGGCAGAGGCAGGAGGATTTGAGTTAGAGGCCAGCTGGTCTACATGGTGAATTCCAGGCCAGACAGAGCTGTAGAGAGAGACTCAGAAAAGTACTAGGACTTGGACACAACAGGATGAGGCAGTACTCCCAGCAAGCATCTGCTTTCTCATGAGGTCTCGAGGAGGGAAGAGAGAAGAAAACAAAACTAGTCTACAGAATGAGTTCTAGGACATCCAGGGCAACACAGAGAAACCCTGTCTCAAAAAAAATAGACCAAAACAAAAACAAAACCCTCAAAACATTTATTTATTTATTTATTTATTTATTTATTTATTTATTTATTTATTTATTTTGGGGGGGCATGTGTGTGGAGGTCAGAGTACAACTTGTGTGTGGGCGTCAGTTCCTACACCCTGTGGGTTCTGGGAATTGAACTCAGATCCTCAGACTTGGCAGCAAAGCACCCTTACCTTCTGAGCCACCTCATAGGTCCAAAACTATATAGTCTTTTTTATTATAAAGTTTGAATAAGTTAATGAAGTAAAAAATACCATGAAAATTATAAAATACAACCCAAATGTTAGCATTACTTGAATGTTTACTCTTGATGGGGTTAAATTTAAGACAGAGTAAGAAGAGGGGTGAATATCAAGCACACCCTTCTGTTCCATAGTGAGGGTGACCCTGGTAGTTTACTGTTCAGAGAACGACATCTGACAGCTTTAGTACCAAGAGGGTACTCTGTGTTGGAACATGCACATGTATAAATGAGATTGCCCTGCCTAATTAAGATGTACGTGTGCCCACTTCATCCATGACACAGCACACGCGCCCTTTCACAAACGGAAGAGCGCACTAACACCTGTGACTCTTTCCCCGTTCTCTCTTATCTTACCTTGTCAGCAGCTGCCAGCAAATCATCAGCCATTTTGTCAAGGTTTGGAGCCTTCCCCGTGTAAATGAAGCACATCATTTCCTTAAAAACTTCAGGTTCCACGTCGTTAATTTCAACCCGATTCTATGCCAAGAAAGTTGAAAATGAGAAACATTCCAACAGAACATATTCCTAAACTATATCCATGGTTTTAAGTTCTGGTGAGGCAAGAAGTTTGAGTTAAAACCTAACGTGGATAGGAAAGACCTCTCACTCGTCTCTTTCACAACTGTTTATTCTAGTAGCTTTCCGCCCATCATTGTCTACTACCTTTATTTTATCTTCTCAAAGACGGTAGCAAAACAACTACATGTGTGGGTTGTTTTTTTTTTTTTGTAAGCTCTGGGCTTTCTAGTATCTTTAACCCCAACTATTGAGATGACTGCTGAACAGTAAGTCCACATCACCTGGGACATCCCCAGACCACCCATCTGCTTTCAGAAGGTGTAGGTTCAAGAAACTGTACTTTAATAACATGGCAAGAAAAAAATCATTAGGAAAATAAATCTGCCAGACTGGGAAAGGTCTGACTGTAGTCACTGGGTTACAAAGATGCGTGTCCATCCTGTTACACACCTTTTTGCTCTCCTCCATTTCGTGTTCAAACATGGCACTGAAAACTGGAGACCGAGCTACAAAGTGAGAGGGAACAAAGAGGTTATCACACGGGAACCGCTCCATCACCCCAGTAATTATGACGACCTTTGTTATTCCTGTCCCCACTTCCAAGGAAATGCTCTTGGTCTCAAATCACATTGGAATTATAAAACACACACACACACACACACACACACACACACACACACACACACACACACACACATTTTTTTCCCCGAGACAGGGTTTCTGGTTTTTGGAGCCTGTCCTGGATCTCACTCTGTAGACCAGGCTAGCCTATGAACTCAGAGATCCGCCTGGCTCTGCCTCCTGAGTGCTGGGATTAAAGGCCACCGCCACCCAGCAAAATACATGTTTTCAAAACATTTCTTTGGCTTTACTTTAATCATCCACATTTTAAGGAAATTATCTGTGTTGGACAACAATGGTATATACACTACTGTGTAGACTTTGAAGTTCATATGGAAGGTATGCCATGTTCTAAGCAGGGTGCTCTAATACCTGGACTTTTGGCTACAACAATGAATGGCACCTCTAGAGAGACCACACAGGAAGAAGGTCAAGAGCTAGGCTCAATGGCATGCACTAGCTTGATGATGAACATTTCTGGCAAATGTCTATTCCTCCAGCTATGTGTTCTCAGTGAAGTTGATATCATCCCCAAAAACCTGAAAGAGCCTTAAACGGTATAACATCTTATGGCCCTTCAAAGTTCTTTTCTGTTTGGTAAAATTATCTTCCTTAACATTTAATTTCTTTCATCACAGAGAACTCAGTTTTTTTCTTTAGGAATGAGAATGAAGAAAAAAGGTCAAGAAACAGTGCTACGGTCCATGTACTTTCTATGAACACCCATGAAACACCACACATACACACAAAAAGTAAGTAAACTTAATTTCAACCATGAGAAATAATGTAAGAACTCAATTTTTTTCATGTTGCTGAATAAATCAAGGGTTGGGGTCAAACTGAAATTCTCAACCCAGTACTTAAGAGTAGAAGGACAGATGGTGGGTAGGAAAGTGGCAAAGACCTACAACTTTTAGCCTGTAGTTTACATCAGAAAGAACTCATTTTACCTCTGCTATTTTCTAGGTAAAATTATTTAACCCTCTGAACCATTTACCCCTGCTTCTTCTGCTTTTATATATATAAAACTTAATTTAATATATATATATATATACATATATATAATTTAAATTTTCTTAAATTTAGAAATAAACCAGGCCTAGTGGCACACACTTGTAAGGCAGGAGAATTCTGAGTGTGAGGTCAGCCTGGGTTACATAGCAGAAATTTCTCCCCACTTTTTAGGATTTTAAATGTAAATCTCAGTATTTTCATCGATTTCAGAAGGTTATTTCTTCCCAATGGTCTTATCTCAGAAGAGTTACAGACTATACGGTGCTCATGGACTGGTGCTTAACTACAAAGAGAAGGTCCACAGCAGCAAGCAGGGCGACAGCAGCTGCTGCAATGGACCAGAACTCCAGCGAGAACAGAGGGACACTGCGGCAGACCCTGAGGGCTGGCAGACGTTTGAAGGAACAGGTGAAGAAGAGGGAAGGCGGGCACACAGGAGAAATAGCTGGAGCAAACAGGAGATACAGCTTGGTGACGGAGTGCTTGCTGAGCACATGTGGGGCCTAGGGCTTGCTATCCTGCTCCATAAAGAGGAACAACAGGTAGTCAATGAACCAGGAGAAAACTGGAGCACGGAGTCAACTAGTATATGATCTACAGCCTCTCCAACTTAGGAACTAGCAGGCAGTTCACATAACTTTAGAAAATTGCTTTCCTGGCAAGGAGGTGAACTGAGGACAATGTGGGGAAAGGAAGTAGACAGTGAATATGCTACCTCAAGAAATTTAGCTCAGAGTATGTGGGGAGAAAGAGAGCACACAGATTGAGAAAACGTTTCTAGGAAGGCAGGACGAGATTCAGAGAACAGCAGTATACAAAACAATCCATTCTGAAGTTGAGGGATACCTCCTTGCCATTGAGAAGGCAGGTCAGAGAATAGCAGTCAAGGATGTTCCTACAAAAAGGCCTCTTGGAGGGCAATGTGGGCAAAGGCATCCTTTAGGAGTTGGAGGAGGTTAGAGGGGAAAGGCAGAAGTCTGAACCATCTACTGTTGGGAAAAGAAGGAAGCTGACTGTACCTACAGAAAGATGCACTGGGGGTGGGGTGGGGGTGGGGAAGCTGAGGAGATGGTCAGTGGATAGAGTGCTTGCTGTACAAAGCATGAGGACCTTTGTTTCGATCTCTAGTGCCCACTTAAAAGCCAGGCATACATCTGTAACACCAGCATTGGGTGAGGACATGGGAGGGATCCACTGTGTCCTCACTGGACAGTCTGTCCAGTAAAAATGGTGAGCTCCATGCCACTGAGAGACCATAACTTCAAAAGTAAGATAGAAAGTAACAAAAGAAGACATTCAACTTCTGGCCTCTGCACATATACACACAGTAATGTACTTGCATACACACGTGCAAAAACATGCTTGTACCACACACACAAGCAAGAAACAAACATTAAAAGAGAAAAAGAGGTGGGGGGGAGGAAGGGAGGAAGGAAGGAAGAGAGGAGAAAAGAAAGAAGCATGTGGAGGGCCTCACTACACAGGCAGACACTAGTCTGAATTGCTCACTTCCTTCAACATTGACAATAATACCTAGGTGAAGCAGAGAATGGGAAGTTGTCCTATGAGACAGCTTGAGCTCATTTCAAGTGTGAACCTTGGAATGACGAAGCTGAGACATCTCAACAGAGGAGTCTTGGGAAGAAGTGTGTTACTTGGAGAGTCACACAATACTCTCACATGTTCTGTGCTCTGCAGAGCAGTGTGTAGCTATGACCCCCCTTTTCCATAAGGATGAAGTCAGCCCTCTCTCAGATCCTCCTCTGGTGAGTCTTTCTTGTCTTAAAGATCAAGGAACTGAGAGAACAAGACTTGATCCTCTGGGTCAGTAGCAACAGTCTCATTCTTCTTGTATGTTTACAGTAAAGACACAACTTAAGCATCTGAGGCTGAGGTCTCAGCTTGATAATACTTAGTCCCTTGACCAGAATCCTCTCTGTTGCATTTAAAGTCCAACTAGGAGCTACCACCTGCTCTTAGGTACTCTGGGAGCTATTTTCCAAGTGCAAAGATATGGGACAGTTTTGTATAACCATCATTTATACTTTGAAAACGGTAGCCTAAGAGACCACTCTTGAGACAAACCAGAAATGCTATTTTTGTGGAAAGTAGCCTTTTTGGTTATGAGAACTCTCTTCAGAATATAAAAATACAGTCCAGGCATGGTGGCATATGCCTATTATTCCAGCACTGGGGGTGAGGGTAAGGTTAGGACTGAAAGTTTGAGGACAGTCTGGGCTAACCTAGCAAGTTCCAGGTCAGCCTAAGCTACAAAGTAAGACCCTGTCTCAAAACACCAAAATGAAAATAAATTTTGAAAATGTATTTAGGGGCAGAGTTCAAAAGTTGAAGTTGTCCAAAGGCAATTTTGCAGCCACGATTTTTCCTATTGCATCAAAATTATAACGTGAACCATGAATAAATACCAACCTGCTAGGATGGCCTTGTGAGCCTGGAACTCTTGGCCAGCCACACACAGGCAGCAGTCTGTGAATCGAGAATTCTCCCACAGCCCTCCTAATTCATCTGCCAGCCGGCACTCAGGAACCTTTACCATGTTCATAGTATTCTGTCCAGAAATATTGACAGAATCTTGTACTACACTCACCTATGAAATATAAGGAGACAGAAACAAAGCTTTTGTTACCAGCAGGTGGAGAGAGAACTTCTGTCACAGTGCTCCAGAAGATTTAGATAACATATTTGAAACCACCTCCACTAATCAAGACTTTCTCCTTTGGATCAATTTCCCCATTTATTATAATCACACTTCTTTTATACCACACTGTAGGACAATGACAGCCTCATAGAGTAAGTTCTTCTCCAGTTTCTAATAAGTTCCATCTCCTTGTAAACCCAAGCACAGCTGCCAAAGAGAAACTGTCAGGGACAAATGCTTAATTTCAAGTACTCCCCTTAAGAGCTACTATAGAGGTCATTGTCTTGGTTAGGGTTTCTATTGCTGTGAAAAACACCATGACCACAGCAACTCTTATAAAGGAAAACATTTAATTGCGGTCAGAGGTTCAGTCCATTATCATCATGGTGGGACATGGTGGTGTGCAGGTAGACACAGTGCTGGAGAAGTAGCTGAGAGTCCTACATCTTGTAGGCAACAGGAAGTGGTCTGTCTCACTGGGTGTGACTTGAGCATACATGAGACCTCAAAGCTCACCTCCACAGTGACACACTTCTTCCAACACCTACTCCAACAAGGCCATATCTCCTAATAGTGCCACTTCCTTTGGAGGCTTTTTTTTTTTTTATATATCAAACTATCACAGTCACCATATAAAACTCTCTAAAGAAATCCAGTAACTTAAGCCCAAAAGCATTTCATTTATTTTAGTTAGGTCAGGAAACACAGATAAAGTGTAGTTTCTATAGCTATAGGGCTTGGTAAGTAACTGGCATTTCTCAAGGATTGAAGTAGGAAGGCCTTTTAGTAGGGTTAACTAGGTGGGTATAGCATAAGTTTTACACCTGAATTCAGTCATCTGTGACAATGACATTCAAGACGGCTGACTGCAGTTTACACGTACACTTGCTTATACCCCTGGAACAGAATGACAATGAATCCTATGGAAGGCTCCAACTTCCCACTCTGGCTTCAGTAGCATGTTTCAACTAGTTGAAATTCAACCTAGATAGAAACCAACCTAAATTTTCAGATGGGTTAGTGAAAGTCAGCTGTTAGGACACCAATTATAAAGATTTGCAAATCACATTAACATTATAAAATATGCTAGCCATTAAAAAAAAAATAAGATCCTGCAAAGCAGTCACATACCCAACAACTACTGTGTTTTATTTCCTACAGCACATCATGTTAAGAAAATTAAGTTCAAGCAGAACTCAAACCTTGAGAATTAACTCCCTGCTCTCCTACTGCTAAGAATATGATGAGAAAGACAGTTTAAGAACATCCTTGATGACCCAGATTTCTTTTGACCTTCAAGATGCAAGTCATCCTTTAGCTGCAGTCATAAACCTAGAGGCAAAGTTACTGCTTGACCTATAATCCCTTTTGTGTAAGACTGAGGTATTTACTGCCAGGTCAAAAAACTTATTCATTTGTTTAAAACTGTTATGATCTTACACAAAGAGGCAGTCAAGTTAATCAATTATAAATGTGCTCAGCATTAGAGCACATTTATCAGGGACAGATTATAACAATATTTTAATAACCCAAGACCCAGCACAAACCACCCCACAGAGATCCTCTCTTGTTCTTTGTAAGATTTCTAATTTGGTTCAACCAGTTTCTCATATTAGCATCCTCACTTCTTTGATATAATATTAACACTAAAAGTGAAAGTTGTCTGTTACCAGTTATAGTTCTAAACACTGATTCAGGGGGGAAAAAAAAGGGAAAAAAAAAAAAAAGACCAATTAAATCCAACTTCCTCAAAGGGAAAGGCAGGAATCTCCAGGGATGGCCAATGTAGAGAATGGAGAAAGCTTCTGGCACTATGTTTCTAGTTTGAATTAAACCAGGCTGACAGGAGCCCAAAATCATTAACACTTAATAGCAATTGAGTAGACTGGGTAAAATGAATTGGCAAACACTAAGCTGAATTTCAAATGAACTATGGTTACCAGTGGACTTTCTGCTGGCTAGATACATGCTCGGTAATGAGTGGGGCCCAAAGGCTGCAACACCTCTCAGTAGGATGATTCTTCTCTCTGGACACAGACAGGAACACAGCAGGAAGGAGAATGTACCTTTACTGCCTGAGCCAGGCTTGTTCTGTAGATATATGGATGCTTGGAATCTCCAGAGCCCTGAATGTCTGGCACCTCTTTCCAACATTAAATACGCTTAATTAAAAATAAATTTTAAATGGCACTCAGAAATGAGTCCTCAGAGCCCAAACTTTTAACTTAGAGAGGGATTGTTTTCCTCTGCAAATGATGATGCTAAAATGAGACCATTTTGAGAAAAACGAAAGATTTTTTTTTATGCCTATAAAGTTGACTATGGAGACTCATTCAGAACTGCAGCTGTGAAGATGACGTGACTGTGACATTTCTGTCGTCTTATAAATGAATGCATGAAAATGTCTCCAGAGTTTCAAGTTATGGGAGGGTCTCACTTTTAAAGTCAACTTCTCTTTCTTTCTTTCTTTCTTTTTTTTGGTTTTGTTTTTTGAAACAGGGTTTCTCTGTGTAGTCCTGGCTGTCCTGGAACTCACTCTATAGACCAGGCTGGCCTCCAACTCAGAGATCCACCTGCCTCTGCCTCCTAAGTGTGGGATTAAAGGTGTGCTGTCTGACTTCAACTTCTCTTTCTTAAAAAAGGAAATTACAAGATTAAAAAAAAAATTTAAAAAGGAAATTTCATGAATGACTAAGGACTGTCAAGTCTTGTATACTCATCCACATAAAAGGGAAATCCATGGAAACATTCAGTACCTATGGAAGACCAAGGACTGTCAAATCTTGTACATTCATCTCCATAAAAGGAAAAATTAATGAAAATCACTTTAATGTCTATACAATTAAAAATTGAAAAAATAAAGAAACACCACACACTGGTTAAAGTGTAGCACATCATTCACAGCAAAACACTAGCAGCAACCTGAATGTCAATCAGTAAGAGAACAAACAAACCATACAACCATAAAACAGACTTTCCCCTGCACTAAAAATAAACTGTGGTTACATATAAAGTATACATCTTATAAACAATGTTTTAAAAAAAAGCAGGTCCTAGAGATGACATTAAATCTCATATCAGTTTTATAAAGCTCAAAACCAAGTACATCTTAAGAAGGTATTGTTCAGGCACATAAATGATTGGGAATAATATAAAAAGTGAAGTAACTGCCTCATTCTTTGGTTCCGGGACAAGTATTCAGTATAAGGGAACAGCACACACAGGCTAGCTTCTAGTTACTGAGATCTTAGTGTGGGTGGTGGGTTTACTACATCAACGTGTTTTATAACCTACAAAGATGCTACATATCAAGCTAACATCTTTGGAGGTCAAGAACAATCAAATATTGGTTGTTTCATACAGTGCAACTAATGCACACCAACAATTCACTAATAAAAAGTAAAAAATGAAGACATATTTATTTAAAATTGGGCAAAAATACATAGTCTCAGGTAACCAAAGGAATAGTCTATGCATGAGAATGGAAAGGATATTTTAAAGCATAAGCTAATGTCTGGATAGTTGATAAGTGGTATTTCATATGGCGTTTCCTATTTCATCTTAACTGACACCTTACCAAGAGGACTCTTCTACCTGCATAGGCAAAGAAGGGGAATACATGTACCTTCACTGCTAAAGGATATATAAGGATATCAATATAAGGAACTGGAAAGGGTTAACAGAAGCTGAAAATGTTAACAACGATTTTCTATGGCCCAAATTATTAAGGAGAAAATTAAAAATATAATTTAAACATGCTTTTTATGTTCTCCCTTTCATTAGCAAAGTAAATACTCTCTATTAAGAAAACTTGGGAGAGCCCTTGCTCTCTTGGGTGAATGGCATTCAGCTCCACTTAGTACAGCACAGCAGACAAGAAGTGGGAAATGGAGAGCTGACATGGCCTTGACATTAATTTGCTGTACAATGTTAGGAAAAATTACCTGACCTCCCGAGGCACTGCTTCTCTCATGTAACAAGAAATGAAGAAAACAGAACTAACCTAGCTCAAAGGATTGTGATAAGGGATGATTCAAGAAAGTCTTAAAAAACATTTAAGTATCTTAATTAAGCAAATTCAACTTGGAAGAATCACCCTATTTCCTAATAGACAAAACTCCCCGAGAACTGAAAATGAACCCCATGTGGGCGGCACATTACATACAAGACCACCCACCTGGTACTTTCAGTTGACAATCTAATCTCCAACATTCAGGAGCCATGATACCACTGAAATAAAGGCCAAACAGGCACAAGCGTGGTTCTCAGTCTTTCCCTTTCAGATTCCCCATGACTCTGGGTCACCAAGCATCTCTGAAGCAGGTGCACTCAGTGCACATTAGGATAGCAAAGAAGTATCTGGGCACAGACTGAGGGAGCAGTGCAGCAAAGTGGTGGGTACTTGCAATTAAATTTCCATGTGGATATCCTTTCATAAAACCTCTAAATAATTAGAAAATAAGGAAAACTATAGAACATAAAATATAAGCAGGAATTAATATAAACTTATTTATAAATATTCCACTGATACAAGGGAAACAGGTCAAAGGAAGAGGACTTACATGGAAAATGGTCTAGCTGTGAAAAGTGCTAAGAACTTGGATGAATTGCAGACATTTTAAAAACCCACACATCCAATACACACCCCCACGCAACCGTCTTGCAGTGTTGAATGCTACTAAGTCCACAGAGAGCCTTGGAACAGGAACGAGTCTCACTAGGCACAGGACCAAGTACGAGAAGCAACACTCAGCACCTGTGGCCAACTGGGAAGTGTGAGAGGAACAGATGGCACACCTGGTTCCATGGCGAGAAACCACGGCATCAGCAGAACCCAGCAGACGCTTCCCCGTTCAACATCTCCCCATTTCCAACGTGTCATCTCACTTCCCTTCTAAGTCAGTAAGGCAAATCTAAACTTAACCACAGGATTTCTCCTAGGAGATTTCATATGGGGAAGTGAAGAGAGAATGCTGGAACTCAGCCTCAGACCTAACCAAGGGAGGGCAGGCCAAACAGTTTCCAAATCACAGACCACAATCCAGGGGTCGGAGCAGCTGGAACAGTATGGGGAAAGAGGAAGAAACACACCAGAAAAGGATGGACCCATTCCATTGCAGACTTGAAAATGCTACAACAGGAGTCATGGTACTGCCTAAAATGCCAGAGGTAATATTTGGAGAAGATTCTCTTCAGGGAGAAGCTTGAAGACTGGCTTTCATTTCCAACAAAATTAGAATTTTCCACTATCTTCAAGTTTTTTTCTTGAAATGTAAGTCTTCAGCACTCCGGAGGCTAAGCAGGACGATAGGGGTGAGCCTGAGGCCAGCCTGGGCTACAGAGAGACCTGCTTTTAAAAAACCAAAGGGGCAGAGGAACAACCCACAAATCCCTAGGATAGGCAACAGGCAAAGATTGAAACTGATGCTGTTTATATAACAGCTAACCTCAAACAAAGCCATATAGTTAATTCTCATTGTTCTGCTCAGGCAAGTGAGTGTGACCTGCAACTAGCAGAACTTACATGAAATTCTCATTTCAAGTTCATTAAACATAAAACTGACACATTTCACATATTTATACAGATGCCAATACCATATCATTTCGTTCAGTTACTCTGCAATTAAAATGGAGAGGGAATGGCTATTATGCAAACTAAATTTTACCTTTTCAGTGTACAAAGTTTTCTAACCATTAGCAATTATTTGTTCTAATCCACAAGCCTGCTACTGCTGGCCATGCTTCTTTCACAAAAGGGCAAGAGTCCTAAGGACAAGTTCTTGGACTACACAGGTGTGACATGCCTTTGGAACAGTCATTAACTCACAATACAAGCCTATTGATGAGCTAGCTGGCAATTGGTATGCTTACCTGCACTCTGCCTCATGAAAGTACAAAATCATTTGCTTCACTCTCAGGAAGAAGTTCCCTGACTATGAGATATACAGGGATAATAATACTCCAGTTTACCGGATAGAACTTTTGCTTATTTCTCCCGTTTCTTACATTTCTAAATGTATGGAAAATGGCATGAAATGATTCATTACAATATACAGTACCCATTTTAATAAGCCCCTTTCAATTGGATCTTGGGTCAAAGAATTTTTCTAAGCTTCTTCAAAGGCTCTTAGGTCTTTGGTAAGAGACACTGACTCTTCAATCTGATGACAGCTGACTCTCCCCATCTAAGCTACAAGTTTCCACACCTTAGAAAAAGTGGCCCCTCCCTTTCCTTATTTCATGATCCCAGAAAGACAAACCATGAACACTCAACTCCTGCAAGGAGCCACCTAGTCCAAAGAGCAGAAAAGGAGAGCAACCCAGTCAAACACTTGCCACTCAAGAAGGAATCAGGGAGTTTAAGCGACAGATACACAAACTTAGTTGCAGTTGCTGGCCACTGCTCAGCTTGAAGTGTTAGCCCTTCCAAATACTATTTGAAAAAACCAAAAAAAAAAAAAAAGTGAGGATCTTGACTCAAGCAACTCAAAACTGACAGATACAATCTTTGTTCTTATGAACAGTAACAAGTAGAGAGCCCAGGTGCCCAACAACCTTGAAATCATAAGGCAGTTCAATCAGTCACATAAATAACATTTGTACAGAACTACTCCCCTTGGGGATTTTTCTCATTTCACATCCTTGACACAATACAATTAAGTCTACCAATACACATCAGGTCAGGGAATTGCCAGTCTCAAAGCAGGGCAAAAGGACTCACCTCACAGAAGAGGGTGAGCTTGTCATCAGGGAGAAGCCCATTGGCCTCATCCAAGAGAAAATCTCTACGAATAAATTTTTTGAATCCCCAGTCTTTGCCTTGCACGAACCTATAAGCTCGCTGACTCTCTGGAATGAAAAAGAGTGTCATACTCAGAGTTACTCAAAGACCAGCTCAAATCCACAACTTATCAGTGTATGAAGTTACTGGATGTGAAAGTAGAGAAACGTTTACCCATAGCTTTGGTTTCTTCTCCCTTGGCATTCAGAATGGAGAACTTGAACTTTGCCCGAACTTCACTCTTTGGACAACTGACCAATAACAGGTAAAGTGACAGGTAATCTTTGCTTTCTTCATCCAGCCCTTTTGGGTTTACTCGCAAACACCTGCTCAACACAGAAACAAATGTGGATCAAAAGAATCCTTATGATTCCTGAAGTCTGGCATGGAACATCAGAAGCCAGAGGGGAAGAAGTGTTTCTGTTGCTGTTGTTGTTAGGTTTGCTTTTGAACATCTAAGCTCCTTACCAGGAGGCTGATTCAATAGAAACTTGAAAATAATCTTTCTACACCAATTTGGATATTATTTTAAAAAATAGACGAAAATAAAAGGGTATTCACATCCCTTACATCTCAACCATTTCCTTTATAATTGTCAAATCATTCACCTATCTCAGCCTAAAACATTCAGAAGTTTTTCAGACTACTCTGTTTTTCATTCTTCAATCTCAGAAAAGATAGCCTCAGTTTCTCATGGAGAAATAATTTTGTAAAAAGTCAGAGAACCTTTCAGTAACACTGTGGGAGAAAAATGTATTCTGGAGAAGTATTTGCATATCACGTACTCTTTTTTGTTTGTTTGCTTTTCTAAACAGGATTTCTCTGTGTTAACAGCCCTGACTATCCTGGAATTATGTAGACTGGGCTGGTCTTGAACTCACAGAGATCCGCCTGCTTCTGCCCCCAAGTGCTGGGATAAAGGTATGTGTCACCACACCTGGCTGACAGATACTCTTTCATAGGTGTGTGTGTGTGTGTGTGTGTGTGTGTGTGTGTGTGTGTGTGTGTGTGTGTGTGATGCCTGTGGAGGTCAAAGACATGGGATCCCTCTGGAGTTGGAATTGGGTGGTTCTGGGTCATCCAATGTGTGTGTGCTGGGAACCAAATTCAGATCCTCTGCAAGAGCAGCAAGTATTCTTACCTGCTGAGCCCTTTCTCTAGCCTCCAGCAATTATATTTTAAGATTTAAAATAACAGGTATTGTGGAAGAAGCACAGATAAAAGTAAAACTCTTATTAGACACAGGAATATTCTAAGCTTGGCTTCTAAATAAGAGTTTGAGATGCCAATCTGTTAAGGATGATTCAAAACAGAATTTAGGCAGAACTTAATAGGTTCAACTGAGTTAAGTTGTAAATGTCATTAGCTGAAACGCATGTAGTTCAGACACTGCTCTACCACATAGAATACACAAGCCACATGTATCTTCAGGCCTTGCCAGGGTTATGTCACCTTTCTCAAACAGGTGGTCTAATCCAGTGCCTTTCTAAGGAGTACAGATGCCAAATATATCACTATACAATATGCTAGAGAGGTTAAATATAATGCTTAGAATAAACATTTCGCTCAGTACCTAGCCTACCATTTAATGTACAAAGTCAGCAAATATTGAATTAATAAATTCTTCAGTGGGTTGTCAGAGATCAAAGTAGGGATTTAGAGACAAAAATGCTTTGATCTTTGCTGGGGACATACGGTTGTATCCCTAACTACCTGCTCCTATTCCTCAAGATGATACTTGGTTTTGATGACACTCATCCTCACTCTCAGATCATAGTCATCTTGCAATAGGCACTAGTTCAGGGATTCCAGCCTTCATCCATTCTGTGGATGAACGACATACTCTTGACTAGACAGTAAATTCAGAAAAAGCTCAAAGACTTGTTGGCATGTGTTGAATATATCCATTGTTACTTCAAGCATAGGGAAGCTACACTTAAGATGTCTCATAGCATGGAACATGAGCAGAGAAATGAGGTCTGCAATGGAATATGCCTCCTGGATGACAGTTATCTCCACCCTCCCAGTTATAAAGCCAAACAAATTTCCTTTATTGCTTAAAAGTAAGCTATTATTGTTAAAGACAGGACTTTCTGTGGTCCAGGCTGGCCTCAAACTCCCTATATAGTAAGGATGACCTTGAACCATTGCCCTGCTCTCCTCTTTAAGAAAGACTTTCTATGTAACCCTGTCTAGCCTGGAACTTGCTATGTAGACCAGGTTGGCCTTAAATTCAGAGATCCACCTGCCTCTGCTTCCTGAGTGTGGGGATGAAAGGTATGTGCTAGCATACCCAGCCTAACCTTGAACTCTTGTGAGGGGTAAGTGAACTTCAACCTCTGAGTGTGTGTGTGGGGTTTCAGGTACCCACCACCATGCCCAGTTTATGAGTTCTGGGGACGGGATCTAAGTCTTCATGTATGTGCAGGCAATTTAAGAGTCAAGATCTTAGCCGGGCAGTGGTGGCACACGCCTTTAATCCCAGCACTCAGGAGGCAGAGGCAGGCAGATCTCTGTGAGTTTGAGGCCAGCCTGGGCTACAGAGTGAGTTCCAGGAAAGGCAGGCACCAAGCTACACAGAGAAACTCTGTCTCAAAAAACCAAAAAAAAAAAAAAAAAAAGTCAAGATTTTATGTTACAAACTTAGATTTGTTGCTGCATGTGATGGTGTACGCCTTTAATCTCAGCACTCAAGAGGCAGAGGCAGAGGCAGGTGAATCTTTTTGAGTTCAAGGTCAGTCTGGTCTACATTCTGAGTTCCAGGTCAGCCAACTCTACTTAGTGAGACCACATCTCCAAACAAACAAAAAGAAACCCACAAAAATTAGACCATGCTGCTTTTTCTGGAGAAAACAGGAAATCTGATGACAGTCGGCTCTTCTCCACACACAGCTGTTACTGCGCTGTGTGGCCCAGGTCCTTCGTATACTTACTGCAGCACCAAGAACTAACCCTAGAGCCTCACCCATGCTGGGCGAGCACTCTGCTGCTGAACTACGCCCCCAGTCTTCTAACAATCCTTTATAAAACATAAATTACAATTACTAAGTTCTAGTGTGGGTCTGTATGTGGGTCCATGAGCACGTTGGTTCTAGTGTGGACAACTTGCAGAAATCATTTCTTTTCCTTCCACCATGTGGGCCCCAGGGATCAAACTCGGGTCTTCTGGTAACCCCGGCCTTCTTTATTCACTTACACTACCCTATACAACTCGAGTTTGCTAAATTGTAATAAACTCCTTAAATTATTTCAACCACTTGTTAGTAAGTGCCTACTGTCTCTGGCCCTATTCTAGGCAATGAGGATAAGAAAAGTGAAGTTCCTGCTTTTAAGAACTTACATTCTGCCCATATCCTATTCAAACCAAGCAAAACAGGCAACATCTGGAATAAGTTCACAACTAGAGGGGTTCTTCCTCACCATTTCAGTTTATCGTTGGCTCCTGATGAAAAAGTTGAACTTTTTATGACTTCACCCATCTCCTCCCGGCAAAAACTAAAGTTGTTGATGGTCCACATGTAGGAGAATTTCACTACCTTGATCTGTGGATAGAAATGAGGAAGGAATTAAATGTGGGGAACCTGGAAAACACAGGCTGAAGATCAGACAAGCACCCCTCCCTTAACCCCACAGGAAGACAGCAGTTCATCAGGCCCCTAATCTACATTAGAGAAATCTCAGTGACCTACTGCTTCTAGAATGTTTTTAACTTCTGAAAACATTGGCAGGAAGTAAGAAAAACACAGTCAAGGAAACAACAGCAACAATAACAACAAAACATGGACAGGGTAGGGAAAGTCTGAAACTTTGTGGTCCTAAAAGAGCCTGTTATTGAGATGCCGATGTCATTCCTGGGGCTGTGAATCTCAAACATTGCTCAGAGCTTTAGAACACACCCCTATCAAGTAGGATGTCAAGAATCTAGACAAAAACTCTGTGAGTTTGAGGCCAGCCTGGTCTATAAATCAAGTTCCAGGACAGCCAGAGCTGTTACACAGAGAAACCCTGTCTCAAAAACAAAACAAAAAAATCTAGCCAAAGATTCCCCCTTCAATCATCATAGAAAAGCACTAGCCTTGGGAATTCCAACTCTATGTAAGAAAAACAAGAATTTAAGGCTAACAAGGACTTTATCTTGGTGACTTTTGGCAGTTATGCCCCAGAGAAACTAGGAACTCAAAGTTGAAAAGTGATTGCGTTGCTTCTGCCCACTAGTGAAAACATGAACTTACCTGTGTATAGCACCAGCTCTCTGCCACGGGACCACTCGACATTTCTGCCGGAGGTGGAGGACTTGGAACCCTTGACATCGCCAGTTTGAAGGTTAAACTGGGTTTCCAAAGTCAGGGGGCAAAGATTTCTGGCTTTTCTTCACCCTGGTAAGACCCAAGAATTAAAACTTATTAGACTCTTTTAATTGATTATTTTTAATGTTAATCTCAATTTTTATTATTCTTCTCTCATCTAACACATCCTGACCTCAGTTTCCTCTCTCTCCACTCCTCCCAGATCCTCCACCCTTTCCCTACTATCCTATTATTTGATTGATCTTCTAAGATACTAGAAACTTTGTGGCTTGTCTGAAATGTTCTATCTTGATTTAAATATTAACTTCAGAGAAGACCATGTAGTCTCCTAGGCAAAATTACATTATTGTCTATGCATGGTGGCTTACACCTTTATTCTCAGCACTCAGGAGTCAGAGGCAGGTGGATCTCTGTGAATTAGAGACCTGTACATCAAGTTTCAGGCCAGCCAGGGCTACACAAGACCCTGTCTCAAATAAATGAAGTGAACCGAATAAATAAATAAAATTCCATTACTCTGCACAATTCTCAACATTATCTTTAAAATCTGCTGGGCAGGGTGTCACATGCAACTTTCATCCCAACACTCTAGAAACAGAGGCTGGTGGAGCTCTTGAATTTGAGGCCAACCTAGTCTATACAGCTAGTATCAAGCCAACAAGCTCTGCATAGTGAAACAAAACAACAGAAACAGAGAAACATAACCTAAGGGTATATTAAAGCACACTGAAAAGGCTGCTTGATAAAGAGTCAACATGGCTAACACTAGGTACCTCCTTGCCACCAGAACCTTCCCTTAGGACACAAATGTTCTGCTCCGGTGGAAAATGACCTTGGTACTCTACCTTCCAATTTTCCTGATCGCCTGTGCTTCACTGCAAACTTAAGAGCAGCCTTCTGTTCAACTCCTCTGCCAGCTGCTCTCTTAAAGGGCAACATTTTTACACCTCCCTTAGATGTGCTCCTTTCTCTACAACATCACGTCAAGTTTTCACCTGACTTTCTAGATTTTTCTTGCTTTCTCTAATTGTTCTTCAACCTCAATTTCTCTTTCTTTCTTTCTTTTTAGACAGGGTCTCTCTATTATGTAGCTCTGGCTGGCCTGGAACTCACTATGTAGGTCAAACTACCTGGAACTCAGAGATCTACCTGCCTTCTGCCTCCTGGGTACTGGGATTAAAGGTGTGTGCCACCAATCCGGCCTTCCTCAATTTCTTTTATTGGATTTTTTTCCTTTACTGTTACTCCTCATGGTTTAATTTTCAATCATTTTCTCAATTTACATTCTCATGGCAACCAATCATTTCAACAGTATCAAATTTCTGCCAGTACACAAACATTCTCAAATATCTTTAACTTACACCTCTTTTATAGCCCCAAGCCCCTTTCAAATAGCTGCTAAAATAAAATCTAACTCAAAATCATTTTTAAAAACTTAGGTCATGGACCAGTGGGACGGCTCAGCAGATAAAGTTGCTTGCCACCAAGCCTGCTAACCTGAGTTGAAGTCCTGGAATCTACAAGGTAGAAGGAAATAACTAAGTCCTACAAACTGTCCTTGTACTACATGTGTGCCATGGTACATGCATGACACACCCACAAAATAAATAACAAATATAATAAAATTATTAAAAATGTAAGGTCAGGCGTACTAGTATATGCCTGTATCCCAGTACTTGAAATTCAGAAGCAGCAGATCTCTGTGAGTCCAAGACTAGCTTGGGCTACAAATAAAGAGTTCTAGGCCAGCCAGAACTAAGACCTGTTTCTCAAAAACCAAACCAAAGCAAAACAAAACAAAAAACAACAATCAAGAGTAAGTCAAAGGATGTAAAGTTGCAGAGATATAGGGCAGACATAGAAACACTTTCCCACTGTTGGTGAGACACTAAAACAAAAAGTGTAACTGTGTATGTAGGAATTTGGTCATATCTAGCAAAGTTTAAAGTGCACACACCACACAACGTAGCACTCCTACTTTGAACCCAATGCACACTGCAACAGGGATTGCCAAGTTTGGAAGGCACAAAATTACCTCTTATGAATGCTGATCCTACCCCCAAGCTTCTGATTCAGCAGTTTGGGATAGGTCCAAGAGTATATTTCTAGCAAGGTCCCAAGTAATCCTGCTGAACTAGTCCTGGAACCACTGCCCAAGAGAAAGTCTGCACTTAAGGGCAAGACATGGACTAGAGAGTCAATGTGACATTGTAACAGTGAAAAGCTAGAAACAAACTAAAACCCTTTAGTATGGAACAGGTAAGTAAACCCTTTAGTATGGAACAGGTAAGTATAATGGAAAATGAGCTTTAGGGTTTAAAATAGTAACTAGATCTGTAACACCGTGGTCCTCAAACACAATGAATGCCAATGAAAAGAAGTTTTTGAAAGGTAAGTGCAGAATATTACTTCTACAAATATAAGTACTGGTACAGATAAAAGCATACTGTAGAAACAAAACAAGAATAACAAAAACATGGCAAGTTGTTACCAGTTTCACAGGGAAATGAGATTTGAAAAGAATAGAAGACACTAACTTTGTCTCTTATGTTTTTGTTCTCAAAGATTTATTTTTATTTTATGTATCTAGGTGTTTTGCCTGTATATGTATATGCATATGCACACACATATGTGCCTAAAGCCCAAGGCCTGAAAAGGACAGCAGATCCCTTGGAAGTGGAGTTACAACAGTTACGAGTTACTATATAGGTGCTGGGAACTGAACCCCGGTCCTCTGGAGGAGCAGCCAGTGCTACTAACCACTGAACCATCTCTCCAGGCCCTCTGATATCTGCTTTAAAATAAGGGTGATAGGAAGCAAATGAAACAATACAAATCTGTTAGAGATAACAAGTGCTTGAGTATCTACTATTCTTTGAACTGTCTGGCTTAAATAATTTTTAAAGTGATGATGATGATAGTATGTGTGTTTATTACTTGTGTTCGTGCATGTATGTGCCAATGCATGTGTGAGCACATCCCATGGTATGCATCTGAAGTTAGAGGACAACTCTTTAGAGTCAGTTTTCTCTTCTTCCCTTTACACGGATTTCAGGATGAACTCAGGTAGTCAGGCTTGCAGAGCTATCTCACCAATATCGTGTTGTCTGTCCTCTTTGCCTGGCTACTTGGAAGCTCTAAGACAAACTTTTTGACACAGGTTTACATTCCTGTTCTACAAGCTTCATTTTATATGTAATCACACATTCTACTCTAAATTAGTTTTAAGTTCATTAATTTTCTTTGCCTCTTTGCAATAATTCTCTGAGCTATTATAGTGTGTGTGTGTGTGTGTGTGTGTGTGTGTGTGTGTGTGTGTGTGTGCGCGCGCGCGCGCGCACGCATGTGTGTTCTATTGTTCCTCCTGAAACTAGAGCTCACAGATTCAGCAAGGCTAGTTGTCTAGTATCTCTAAGCTCCACGGATCCTCCTGGATCTCTGCCTTCCCAGTGCTGGGATTATAGACACGTGCCACCATGCATGGCTCTTCATGGGCGCTGGGGACCAGAACTCAGGCCTTCATGTTTACATAGCATTCTTATTGCCTGAGCTGTCTCCCAGGTATTTGTTCAGTTGGCCTCAAATCCTGAGTAGAAGACGGTATAAATGAGTAACAGCAAAATCATTTAGTAGTAACTAACCTCACAAACATTTGCTTAAATAGCATTGGGAGGAATGGTAAGATATATCTGTACTTATACAGAATAAAAATACTTATAAATGTAATTAAATGTTCCATTGGTCATAACACTGCCCTAGAAGCATTTATAACTACAGCATCATCTGCCATCACAGACGAAGTTAGCTGTCTTACACACATGGCATGCTGTTTCAAACCACTGCATTCACCAGTTTGTGCAAGTCATGAGACCCAGTCTCACAGGCTTGTTTGTCTAGTAACAAGTTAATATATCTTAGGCAGTTTTACAAATCCCAGTTATCATTACTGCCTAGAATGAAGTTGCAGATTTCCTACTTTTGGGCAGCGCAGCAATGAAGATGTGAATTTTAACGTGAGTTAAGAGCATAAACCTGGCTCATGAAGCATGTGTTGGAAGCTACACTCCACACTGAGTCATCACAAAGTACTGTGCTGAGCTTATTTTGAAGTTCTTCTTTAAAAAAAAAAAAACCTTCAAATTCACCTAACAAATAACAATTAACAGGGCTGGGGATATAGCTGAGTGGTAGAGCGCTCACTTAGCCCCGGTTCAATATCCATTACTTCAACTACTACAAATTTTAAAAATCTAGGAAAAAGACATATATTTTTTCCAATGACATTCTGTTAATTCCTTAGTTTCTTTCCACTGAGTATTACTCCATTATGACCAGGAATAAAGAAATACTATTTTATTGGAACTGGGCAAGTGTGTGCTTGAGTAGGTACTGTAATCTAGCAGTATGATGTTTTTGTTTATTATAACAAAGTGATTTTATTTAAATAATTAAAATGAAAATGTCTTTAAAAAGAAATACTAATTTGGTCTTGGCCATTTTTCTCCTTTTTCTTTTCTTTCTTTCTTTTTTCTTTTGACTTGTTTTATAACCAAGTCTTTCTTTGATCTAATTTTTTTTAAATGCCCAACCCAGCACCTAAGAGAACTGGAGACTCAACCTCAGCTCTGAGAAGCTCTAACCAGACAACCTGCTGGGAGGGAAATTGACTGGGATGGCAGAAGTCTAATTAATTTCACTCATAGTGGGCACCATGGGCAAAGTGTTCATGGGCAAAGGAACCTGGTGCTGCATGAACTCTTCAGCACTTCATGCCAACCGCTGCAGAGGCTCAGCAAAAACAATCTTGGGAAAGGAGAGATCTATTTGAAGGTCATAGTTAGAGAATGTTCGAAAGAGACAACCAGAGCCAAAACATTGTTCACAGCTCAAACAAGTTAAGACATGACCATCCAAGCTCTCTAAGGAGAAAATGATTTCCCCAAGCTTACCAACTCTAGCACACTGACAAGTCTCGGTTGAGGATGTCTTTATGTGCCACCATTTATTTTCCTGCTGACCTGTAAGGAAAGACCTTCCTGGATCATACAGAAAAAAATGTACTTCAGCATATTCCTTTCAACTCTAATACTGGAGGCAGTGTTACTAGCTAATGGCCATCTCTGATGGGATGCTTCCTAGCAGTACTATAAGTTCTAACCATCTTTTGACGGGATTTAGGTCGATAAATATTATACAATTTCTAACTAGAAGGTTAAACTGTGGAAGGTAAAATGTAGGCAAAAGAGAAACATATACATGCTATCCAGCAGAAATAATGCGTTGAGCTGAATCTACACAGTTCACTTTTCAGCTGAACCACCTCTTCCTGCCTTCTTACACACTTGTAAAAATACCCGGTTGCCTGCAGAAGCTTTTAAAGTTTTATTAGATTTTAAAGTTTATAAAGTTATTACTTAAACATAATTTACATCTGTTCTTTGTATCTATTCCTTTATCACCTAACATAGTGCCTAGAAAAGTAAACATACTTTGATTAAAATACTTATCTAGGGGGCTGGAGAGATGGCTCAGAGGTTAAGAGCACTGACTGCTCTTCCAGAGGTCCTGAGTTCAATTCCCAACACCCACATGGTGGCTCACAACCATCTGTAATAAGATCTGGCACCCTCTTCGGTGTACATAATAAATAAATGAATCTTAAAAAAAAATACTTATCTAGTTATATTAAGTTAGCTAACTTTTCTGATTTTTGTTGTTCCTTTTTGACAGATCTCTAAAACAAGCTTTCTAACAACGTTGAGTACATCAGCTGTGCAATGCAATGGCAATCAGTAATTTGCTCTTTTGAATAAAAAACAAACACAGGTCCAAACTCCTAGCCTAACTCCTAGCCATAACATCAAATCCCAGATCTAGTAAAAACGAGGGTTTGGGCCAGTATGAAGTGTATCTTCCTTTTATAAAAGAAGAAAGATTGACTGTAATTTCTTCATTTTGGAAACACATATCAAGTGGGCTAATTAATTTGGGTTAGCCAATAATTAATTGGCTTCTTATATAATCAGAATTATTTCAACATACAGACAGATTCTATTAGTAAAAGAAAAGCCAATTGTTGATGTGTGATATTCACTGAGCTAAGCTAAAATATACTAAAAAAGTATAAAACAGACAGCTTGTACAGCTATTTTGTTTAATCTTTCACAAGCATTCCTTCATCATTAACCTAATCTACTCATCCAGAGAATTAAAAAATAAACCAATGCACACAGACATATATCTCATACATGATGCAAACATGCTGAGTTAACTTTATATCCATCAGTTTTAAAATGATAGAAATAAGATCATGAAGATACTAGGTTGAACCATGAAACTTGTTTTGTATGTCAAAATAGGTGCTTATTGGCCACTGCATGTGACACAACATGATACCCAGCACAAATGAGCTAACAATGTAGCATGAGCTAGGAACGGATCTTTCAACCAGAGAGCAGTTAAGAACTTTTTTTAAAAAGCCTACCTCTACCTTCTTTGCTTTAAAGACTTGTTCAGTTTCTAAAGAAAACTCCCAATGTCATACCTATTTTAAACCTGAGAGACGTTAACATTCCCCAAAATATAAGATGACAAAACCACCGTTGATTTAAAAAACATACACACCGAAAACATATAGAAGATTTGGGTATATTTGTTTTCAAAAGGCTAATGTGACCTAAAAGGAGTTTCTGTTTCTTCTGTTAGTATGTTCAAGCATATTCAGCCCAGGAGGTAATAATTTCTCATTACCTTTAGGACAGCTATTACAGGTCATACTGACATCTTTTGTTGCAATATCTGAATGAGATTTTAATATTTGTTATAAGTAAAGCCTTTGTACTTTGGTCTAACCTAATGAAATATTAAATACACTGGGCTTTTTTTTTTTCCCCAGTGTAGAGACACTTAATGAAAATAAGAACACTGAAGAGAGATCTCAATCAGCAAAGGAAAGGTTGGGGTTTCTTGCACGTCCAGTTCATGTCCTGTACAATCTTACAAGACTACTGCTTTTTGTTTGTTTGTTTTCATTATTAAAAAATCCTATGTACCTATACAAGGACTTTGCAATATTAAGTAGATCTAGAGATAAAAAGAAGCAACTACTTCAGTGTGGCCATGGCGGCCAATGCAACCACGGATTGCTGCAGTTCCTGCTGCTAGGGGTTGTGGACAAGTGTATAGGATCAACAATTCACACTGTGATGAAGAATGATAAAGAAACTGTTGGTACACTTGTAGGTTTTGATGACTTTGTCAATATGGTGCTGGAAGATGTCAGTCTGAAATTACATCAGAAGGAAGAAGATCTAAATTAGATCAGATTTTACTAATGGAAATAATGTAACAATGCTGGTTCTTGGAGAAGAAGGATCTAAAGTATAAGTGGACTTCTTTGACTTATGCTAGATTCTGGCTTTTTAAAACAAGCATGAAGACCTGAGTTCAAATCTCCAACACCCTCATAAAAAGCTAAGTGTGGCAACACACACACATATAATCTCAGTGCTGGGAAGGCAGAAACAAGGAGATTCCCTGGAGCCTACTGGCTCGATAGTCTTGCCAAGTTGGTGGGCTCCAGGTTCAGTAAAAGATCCTGTCTCAAAAAAATAAGGTGGAGGACAATGGAGAAAGAAATCTGAGGCCTATACATATAAACAGACAGACAGACAGATGAACACACACACACACACACACATACACATACACACACACACACACACACACACACACACACACTTAATAATAAATTTTTAATCCAAATGAGACAAGACACAAATTCTTCAGTGGTTTATGCTCTTCTGAGTAAAATCAGCATTCTTTTTTTTTTTTTTAAGATTTATTTATTTATGTATACAGTATTCTTCCTGCATGTATGTCTGCAGGCCAGAAGAGGGCACCAGATCTCATTACAGATGATTGTGAGCCACCATGTAGTTGCTGGGAATTGAACTCAGGACCTTTGGAAGAACAGCCAGTGCTCTTAACCTCAGCCATCTCTCCAGCCCCAAAATCAGCATTCTTGTCCTGACCTGACTACCATGGCCTCTCTGTCTCATAATAAAGTCTACATTTCTTTTCAACCAATATGCTTTACTTAGTCTTTACTTCTGTTGGCACAAACCACTACTGAGCACATAGACTTTTTCTTCATCCTGGAGAGCTTTCTCTCCTCACGTTCCCCTACTATGGGGGCAGGCGCTAAGATAGGGTCTGCTGCTAGGGGTTGTGGACAAGTGTATAGGATCAACAATTCACTCTGTAGCCCAGGCTGGCCTTCATCTCACTGCAATCTTCCTGTCATAGCCTCCCAAGCGCTGGGAGTAGAGGCATGAGGCACAGCACCGGGCTCCGTCAGGTCTTTCTGGTTGAGTCCTCCTGTCATTTAGGTATCCTATAAGATGTAGTCGCCTAAGAGAGCTCTTCCCTGACCAGCTAATCTGGGGCAGTCCCCACTTCTAAACCTGTTTCTTTCACATTACCTCATTTTTTTTATTGTCACTAACTGAAGTTATCTTGCTTCTATTTCCACACCTATCTAGTCTTCCCCACTAGAATTTATGTTCAATAAGAAAATAGCATCTCCCTGTGTCTCCAGTGCTAATACAACAGACATTCAATAAGTATTTGTTCCATGATCCTGTTGTTGAGTAGCTAGACTCTTTGGGATCTCTTTTCCCTAAGTGTGTCCTATTTACTAAGTTAAACTTCATGAACTACTGAGTAAATGTAGATACACAAAATCTGGCATACATTTTTGTATGTATATGCATGTGTGGTATGCACCCATGTGTATATGTGCATTCACACAAGTGGGTGTGTGCATATGTGTGTGTTAAGTGAACCTGCTCTTATGTGTGCATGAGTGAAGGCCAAACACTGATGTTAACATCTTCCATCACTCTCCCTTTTATTTAGCAGGGTCTCTCACTGAATCCAGAAGCTTGCCAATTCTGACTAGTCTAATGAGCCAGCTTGCCCCTGGATCCCATTTCTGTCTGCTGGGATTACAGGTGGCTACTACCTGCCTGGCTTTATATGGGTTCTGGAAATCTATGGTCCTCACACTTGCTTGGCAAGCACTTTATCCAGCCCACCTAGTCCCTCGAGCATACCTTAAAAAAAAAAAAAAAATCATTCATTTTACTCATAAAAGATTTATTAAGTCCGGGCGGTAGTGGCACACGCCTTTAATCCCAGCACTTGGGAGACAGAGCCAGGCTGATCTCTGTGAGTTCAAGGCCAGCCTGGTCTACAGAGCAAGATCCAGGACAGGCACCAAAACTACACAGAGAAACCCTGTCTCAAAAAACTGGAAAAGATTTATTAAGTACATCTTAAAACTATAGTCAAAATTTTTTTTAATCTCAGAAAAGAAGAGAAAAGGGAATCTTCAGGGATATGGGAGAATTCCTGAATCTACAAGACAATACTGAGAGACGCACACTTCCCAGAACAATTTCTCTTATAGAAAGTACCATTAGCAGGTGCACACCTTAAATCCCAGCACTCAGGAGGCAGAGGCAGGTGGATCTCTGTGAGTTTGAGAGTAGCTTAGTTCACACAGTGACTTCCAGGATAGTCAGGACTACATAAAGAGACCCCTATTGTGCTCTCCCCCTCTCTCCCTCTCTCTCTCTCTCACACACACACACACACACACACACACACACACACACACCAAAAACAAAACAACACAAAAAAAGTAACTCTCAGGAAACAAATCTGAATTTCTAAGTTATTTCAAGTTAAATTCTATATAATAAATTCCAATAAAATAATCAAATTGAGGCAGATAGTTAGCATTTACTTAGATTCCATCTATAATTTTCCTATTTGACACAGCTTGATTACCTTAAAACGGACATATAGAAACAAAGATAATTAGACATGAACACACATCTATGTCTAGACACTTAACTAAGTTTTTCTAAACATTGTTTTTCAAACTATTGTATACGTGGGGAACTCTGAAACAAAAATAGCATTTAGTGTGTAAGATTTCCCCAGGCTACAGACATTTCTTAGGCAAGTACCGATTCTGAGAGGACTATAAGGACTCCTTCCTTCTTCTCCAGTACCATAAGCTACAGTTTCAGAGAAACAGACTGACAGGGCTCACGCATACCAAGTTAAACTGGCAATGAACAAGAAAGGGTATTGAGTCTTTCCCCAAATGCAATAGGTTAACAGTAGAATGTTCCCACTCATTCCCAAGCTTCAGGGTATGCTGGGAGTTTACAGCCTTATTGCCCTCTTTAGAAGGCAGTAGGTTATAAATAACCACAAACTGTCCTTGTCCCTAAGGAGATCTAGCAGCCAGCTCAAAGGTTAAAATATAGAACAATTTTCACTTCAGATACAACTTTTCCAGACAGCAAAAAATAAAAAATAAAAATGCAAAAAAAAATTCATTGCCAATTTAAGGGCCTGGAAGTAATTTCCTTCCCCTAGAATCTACCCACTACTTTAAGAGTTACTGGTACAGACACACTGGCATCATCCTCTACCCTCAAAATAACACTGGGCGAAGGCAATGCATCTATGCTCCAAACTCAGAAGCTTACTCTGGAAAGGAGATTCCATTCAAGAACTTTGTAGGACTGAAAAACTCCAGTAGAAAGACTTTTGGAGTTCCAGAGTTCCATTTTGCTTTTTTTTTTTTTTTTTTTTTTTGGTTTTTTTCGAGACAGGGTTTCTCTGTGTAGCTTTGTGCCTTTCCTGGAACTCACTTGGTAGCCCAGGCTGGCCTCGAACTCACAGAGATCCGCCTGGCTCTGCCTCCCGAGTGCTGGGATTAAAGGCGTGCGCCACCACCGCCCGGCCCATTTTGCTTTTTAATTTAGGCAAAAATAGCTATGAAACAAAATACATGCAAATAACAGCATATGAGAAAAAAAATTCCACCTTCACTTGGATGGGGGAATCCAGAAAAATAAAACATGTCCAAAACAAGCATAGGTTTCACAAGCTTTGGCTAAAACCAGCAGGTGATATGCTGCTTTGTTAATTACAGAACCCCTGTTGGGGAGCAAGACTCTACCAGCTGCTTAAAACAAAAAACCAAAAAACCAACACACAGGACTCATCAGAATAAGCTTTCCACACATAGTTTCAAATCCATCACTTGGGAGATGTCTAAAATGGAGCAACACAAATTCAAATCAAAAAACAAACTTGCTTATAAAGGGGCTGTATCACTTCAGAGTGGACTTTTTTTATGACTCCATTTTCATAAATTAAAATCATGTGTTACTTCTAATGAATGATGGCCAAAACCTTCCAAGACCACAATGAGCAAGCTTGGTAAAAGTAAAGATTTTAACATCTCCCACATGTCCAAGATTTCTCTGCTGGAAAACAATCAACAAAATTTTTAATAGGAGAAAGTAAAAAGCAGACTCTAGGGCCGGGCGGTGGTGGCGCACGCCTTTAATCCCAGCACTTGGGAGGCAGAGTCAGGCGGATCTCTGTGAGTTCGAGGCCAGCCTGGGCTACCAAGTGAGTTCCAGGAAAAGGTACAAAGCTACACAGAGAAACCCTGTCTCGAAAAACCAAAAAAAAAACCAAACAAACAAACAAAAAAAAAGCAGACTCTAGTATTAGTTAATACCCCCAAAGCTCACCACATGTATGCCCACACACACAAGATGTGAGGAAAAACATAGATTACTGTATAAAGTTTTGATAGTCGTAGTTGAAGGAAGAAAAGAAAGATCATAATTTCAAGTCTAAACAAGTTTGGGGGTTCTGGTATTTCTAACAAAACTTTCCTATTTATTATAATTTCAAGTCTAAACAAGTTTGGGGGGTTCTGGTATTTCTAACAAAACTTTCCTATTTATTTATTTATTTATTTGGTATTTCTAACAAAACTTTATTTATTTATTTATTTATTCATTCATTCATTCATTCATTCATTTATTTATTTATTTATTTATTGTGGGGGTGTGTGTGAATATTTATTTATTTATTTATTTATTTATTTATTTATTTATTTATTTATTTATTTATTTATTGTGGGGGGGGGGTGTGTGAATACCATGGCTCCTGTATGAAGGCACAGGGCGAATTGTGGGAGTTGGTTCTCTCCTTCTACCATGTGGTTCCCAGGGATCCAACTCAGGCCATCAGGCTTGGGGACAAGTGCCTTTACCCACTGAGCCATCTTGCTGGCTGACCTAAAACTTTATACACAAGCAAACAAGCTAAAGAGATGTCTCAGCAACTAAGAGCCATGTTGCTCTTACAGAAGACCCAAGTCTGGTTCCCAGCACCCATCTCAGGTGCCTTATAACATAGTTAAGAATATTTTTAAAAAATCTTTAAACCATAAACAGATGAAAGGTTAACTCTAATATTATGCATGTGTGTCCAGCATGCAAGGAATTTAAAAACTGAAATCATCTCATTTAACAAAGAGAGCTGCCTATAACCCATAGTATCCGCTGGCCTTATAAGAAAAAAATCATTTAAAATACTTATTGCTAATAAAAATTGGCCAGATAAGAGGCCCAAGGAATGAACATAAAAGAAAAGAGTCAGAATCAGTATTGGGATATAGAGTGAGGAGTAAACTCATTAACTTGGAAACAGAAAAGCCTCACCTGCTAAGGGGCATTTACCATACTACAAAAGCAACCCATTATGTTCCCCATTAACCACTACAACCTATCAGGGAACTCAATTTTCCTCAGAAATATGTTTTGAAAGGGAAAGCCCAACCCCCTCCAACTAAGATAAGCAAGTACTCTACCACAGAGCTACCTTCCCAGCCTGTGTGTGTGTGTGTGTGTGTGTGTGTGTGTGTGTGTGTGTGCGCCACACATTGTCATCTCCTTTAGGCCTTAACACATCTCCTTATTAAATGAAGCAAGGTGTCTTATCTAGAAATTAAACACAGAAATTCCTTCTTAAAAATAACTAAATTCAGCCAGGCAGTGGTGGGTGGCACACATCATTAATCTCTGCACTCTAGAGGCAGGGGGATCTCTGTAAGTTCAAGGTCAGAGCTGTTACACAAAGAAACCCTGCCTCAAAAAACTAAATAAACAAACAAACAAACAAAAATAACCGAATTCTGGCCTGGGCGTGGAGCTCAGTTGGTGGAGTTCTTGCCTAGCATACAGGAAATCCTGGGTTTGATTCCCAGCACCACATAAACTGGGCATAAAGCACATGCCTGTAATCTCTGCATTTGGGAAGTGGAAGCAGAAAAGACCAGTGGTCAAAAAGTCATCCTCAGTCACTTAGTTTGAGGCCAAAAATAAGTAATTGGTGTGGGGGGGGGGGGGGCATGGGGGGGTCAGAGAGTAGGGGGAAGGGGGGGAGAGGGAGGGAGGGGGAGAGAGAGAGAGAGAGAGAGAGAATGAGAGAGAGAGAGAGAGAGAGAGAGAGAGAGAGAGAGAGAGAGAGAGAGAGAGAGAGAGAGAATGAGAGAGAGAGAGAGAGAACTCAAAAGGAGATGCCACCAGATGCAACACTGGTAAAGTGTTGCCAGACTAGAAACACTTGGAAGTAGACAAGGAGAGTCTTGGGAGCTAAATGGGCAGCCAGTCTAGCTAGGCAATGAGCTATGTTAAGGATCTAAATAAACTCAACAGAACAAAGGAAAACCAGAAAGTTCTCAGTCTCCAGTGTGCATTTCAAATTCTTGAATCAAGGGGAAAGTAAAAACACATAGGCAGACAAAACAGGAAAGTTGAACAAGATGTCTATCTCAAGAGAATGAATGCCCTTAGTTCCTGATGACCTTTGTCTGAAAAGATTAAAATGCAGTAACGCCCATTTTGCCCAGTAAGACTCTGTAATTACAAAGTATACATAGAGGCTTGAGGCATTAATCAGAGCACAGAGTAAACACCTGAAGAGAGCCATTTTGGTAGCAAGATTTTAAGTCAACATCAAAGAACTAAGTTCCAAGGTACAATACAAAAAGGTAAGATGCTCAAAATTCAAACTCCTTTTACAGACCAAAAAAGCCACACTGCTTACGGCTTTTTGCTTTATAAACTGTAATCTTAACCCTCTAAGGAGCTCTTCTTACTCTACTGTTTCCATATCATGTATTAGCAACCCTTGATTAAAAATTTAAACCTAGCTGGGACTGCTGGTATATACCTATAATCCTAGCATTTGAGAGGATAATGAGTTTGAGGCCAGTTTGTGCTAGATAGCATCATTAAGTCTCAAAAAAAATTTAAATCCAAACACAACTGCTTCCCCCATTAGTATGTATAACCTTTTCCTAGTATATATTAGTCAGCAGAAAAGATATGATTAAAAGGTTCTAGTTTATTCCCAGCAGAGATATTTAGAATAAAACTTTTATTAGCGTCACTTACAAAAATGTTTCTTTGGATTGGGCTGGGGAGATAGCTCAGTTGGTAAAACATTTATCTTGTAAGAACAAGGGCCTGAGTTCAATCCCCAGAATCCACATAAAGCTAGGCATGGTGGCACTCACTTGTAAACCCATCATTACTGGCAGGCAGAGATAGGGGGATCCCTGGGACTCACTGGCTAGCCAGCCTATCATAATTGGTAACTCCAGGCCAATAAGATACCCTTGTCTTAAAGGAGGTAGATACTGTTGCTGAAGATGACAGACTACCCTCTGGCCTCCACATGCACACGCATACAAGTACATACACATTAAAAAGAAAATCAAACATATTTTCTTTATATGACTTTACCTTCCATATGCACTAAAATCAAACAGTAAACTGCACTAAAGATGTGCATTTTTCAAGCGCGATAAATATTTCTGTCTATCTCATTCTGCTTTATCCTTCATGATTAAACTGTATAAATAAAACTACATAAAACTCACCAAGTCAAGTCAGTAGGTAAACTCTAATTTGTCTTGTCTAGCAGGAAATCTCTGTTGGAAATAGAGATGATGAGTCAGCTTAACTAGATTCTGAGTCTCATACACATCTTACTTTGGCTGTTCTTTAAAGGGAAAAGTTCACAAAAATCAGGTGATACATTTGCAATGAAATGACTGATAAAAGGACTTACTAGACAAAATTACTGTTCTAATACTCTAGTCTGAACGATCTACTTTTTATTCAGCTCTCAAAAAGGGTATACTTGAAAGTCAGAAAACCAGCTGGTTCTAACACTCTTGCTTATAAGCAAAAATGAAATATCACTTGCCCCATGTCAATATTGTTGAGAAAAACTTACTACAAAGTATAACATATGCCTTTACTAAAGGTGCTGTCTGGCTAAATTACACCAAAGCAAGACACATTTAAACGAAGTCATTTATCACATGGGTTTAGGAAATAGCAGGAAGGTATACACGGGAGAGAAAGGGTTTGTGTTGAAGATCGGTGAGATTATCTTGGTTGCTGTCTGCAGCACAACCGCTTTAATAATCTATCATATATCCTGCAAAGGGAATTGGGCTTGTAGGAACAGGACCTAGGCAAAAATAGGTAGAACAGATCCTATTTTCCTTTAATGTGGGAAAATGAGGCACTGTGGAAATCACTGGTTAGCCTTCAAAGTCTCTCAAATGTGTGCATATGAACTTTAATACACTGATTGAAATTAATTTTCCTTACACTGTAACAGATTTTGGTAAAACCAAATGTGGTTACTATTAGTAACAGAAAGAACCCCCTAAACAGGATGTTACCGCAGGACACCTTTAATCAGAGACCATAAAATAAAACTTAGAAAAATCTCACAAGTTATATCAAGGAGCAGCAGTCAGATCAAATCCATCCAACAAATATTGGTAAGCATAGCCAGATGGACACAGTTCTGGACACCCAAAAGGCAGGAAGAGAAATGCCTTAAAGTACTAACTTCCAGCCAGAAGATAGCCTACTTTTTCAAATGAAAAGTCTCTGAATACGCGTGATTTTTTTTTTTTTTTTTTAAAGACAGGGTCTCACTGTGTAGCTCTGGTTGTCCTGAAACTCACAATGTAGAACAGGCTGGCCTTGAACTTACAGAAATCCATCTGCCTCTGCCTCCTGAGTGCTGAGATTAAAGGCGTGAGCCACCACACTCAGCTTAAATGTGTGATTCTTGAAGTAGAAACCTTTAGTCCTTTCCTCACTTTTTCTTAAGTTTCTGGGTTTTGTCTTGAATTAATTTCCCAGAATTAACATTTTTAGGCCCCTTACACTGAAAAGGTTAAAGTAACACTACAGTGTATAGATACCTAGCTACCCTCTACTATTTAAATAGTGAACAAAAGGTCTCCCTCACAGAACACACCTTTGACTTTTCTTTTTTTTAAAAGGTAATTCAGGATTGACAACTTGGTCATAAAACAGGGTCACCCAAGAATAAATACTCACAGACCAATATCCTATCATATTACTTAAAATTTAATTTTGAAACGTAAGACCTGTATTTCAGAAGTTTCCTCTATTGATGTAAGGGTTGAAATGTAATACGTGTGACTATTCTCTAGGAGCCACCACTTAACACTCCAATTATATGAGAAGGAAGCTTCTGAAAGAGCAAAATCAGGACAGACGTATTTTCTTTGCTTTGTGGAATGTCACAGTGGTCAAGGGAACTTCCAGTCACCCCATCTCACTCTGAGTAAAAGCCAGTCTATACAATGGCCCAAAGGGGCCACCCAAGCGGTACTCTGTAGCTCTCTAGCCTCAGCTCCAGCTCCTAAGCTCGCAGTGTTCCAGCTGTACCACTTTACTTTGTTGTAGTTCCTCACAGCACAGGCTCATTCCTGTCTCGGGGCTTTGTACTTGCAGTTTGCTGTCTTGGTAATGTTCTCCAGGCCCTGAGAGATGATGGGGCACACACCCTGCCACTGCTGATTCCTTAATTGTCACCATCCCTGTGAGAGCTTTCCCTGACACCCTTAAAATGCAACTCTTTCTCCCTGGCACAGTCTTATTCCTGCCTCATTATTTTTTTTATACTAGATAAAGTCATCTAGCATACTATATTTTTTACAATCTGTTTCCTCTAACTGAAAAATAAGCTGTTCAAAGGTAGATTTATGTGTTTTGTTGCTGTACCTAGACAGTGTCTGGCACGTGAAAGGCAAGAAACAAACCCATTTAATAAATGACTGAATTCAACTTTCCTTCTGAACTTCCATCCTTTGAAGATTTCATAGTAATTCTATACATTCCTGTGGGGGTACATGCCTGTTATCCAGCACTTGGAAAGATAAGGCTTGAGGATAAGTTTGAGGTCGGTAAGAGTTACAGACTAACTAAAGTTCCAGTCCAGCTTGGAATCCATAAGGATACCCTTCCTCAAAACAAACAAAAAAATTACCTCTCTATAAATTATCAATTTTTGGTTTTATTTTTCAAGACAGGGTTTCTCTGTGTAGCTCTGACTGTCCTGGAACTCACTCTGTAGACCAAGCTGGCCTTGAATTCAGAGATCTGCTTGCCTCTACCTCCTGAGTGCTGGGATTAAAGATGTGTGCCATCACACCTGGCCTTAAAGATTTATTTTATGTAATGGATGTTTTATCTGCATGTATGTCTGCACACCGAAAGAGAACATTGGATCCCACTGGACTACAGTTATAGATGGTTTTAAGTTTCCATGTGGTTGCTAGGAAATAGAACCCAGGACCCCTGTAAGAACAGCCAGTGTTCTTAACTACTGAACCATCTCTCCAGCCTCTTAAAATCAGCATTTTTTACATGAACAAGGTTTGGGCTTATGCTTTTAATATTAACAGATGATAGATGCCCAAAAAGTTAATAAAAGTATATTTTCCCCCAACAAAGCAAAATACCTGTTTTCAATGATAATATCCTTGAGGGCAAAAAGAGTTAAGAACTCGTGTATTACGGGGAAGTAGCTGACAATGCACAACAGAAGTCTGTAAAAACTGAGCATGTTTTATTTATACTATAAGGTAAAATATTTTTTAAAAATAAACATGTAAACAAAAGAATTATAAGAAAAATGTACGGGCCTCCAGTGGTGGTGCACTCCTTTGATCCCAGCACTTGGGAGGCAGAGGCAGGTAGGTAGATTTCTGAACTTATGGCCAGTCTGGTCTACATAGAGTTCCAGGCCAGCCAGGGCTACATAGTGACACGGTCTCAAAAAGCCAAAAAAGAAAAGAAAGAACAGTTCCTTAAATACTATATTTTTAAAGATTTATTTTTACTTTATATGCATGAAGGGTTTTGCTTACATGTATATATGTAAGTATATGTATGCTGTGCTTGCTAGAGGCCAGAAGAGAGCACTGAACTATCTGGGTCTGGAGTTAACAGACAATATGAGCCACTATTTGGGGGCTGGGAACTGAATCTGCAAAGGCAATTTCTCCAGCACCAAGAAGAAGTACCTCCCCCCTTTTGCATTTACTTGTGTGTATTTTATTGTGTGAGCATGCACATGACAGTGGATGTGTGGAGAGAGGACTACTGCAGGAGCAGGTTCTCTCCTTCCACCATGTGGGTCCCAGGGAACAAACTCAGGTCATCGGGCTTAGCAGCATGCACCTCTGCCATCCACTGAGCCATCTTATTGGTCCTTAAGAAGAAAATTCTTTGTATTATTTTGATTGCCACAGAATAATAGATGCTGTTATGTACCCAGATGAAACAGACCAAGAGGATGACTATAGTTAAAAAAAAAAAAAAACAAGCCGGGCGGTGGTGGCGCACGCCTTTAATCCCAGCACTTGGGAGGCAGAGCCAGGCGGATCTCTGTGAGTTCGAGGCCAGCCTGGACTACCAAGTGAGTTCCAGGAGAGGCGCAAAGCTACACAGAGAAACCCTGTCTCAAAAAAACCAAAAAAAAAAAAAAACAAAAACAAAAACAAACAAACATACTTTTTTACTAAAAAGATTCATGGCAATTTCTAGAAGAGAAAGAAAACTCCACAGTGTTAGTGTTCTTTCTTTTTGTTTTTCAAGACAGGGTTTCTCTATGTAGCCCTGCCTGTCCTGAAACTTTTTCTGTAGACCAGGCTGGTCTACAGAGATCTGTCTGCCTCTGCCTCCTGAGTGCTGGGATTAAAGGCGTGCACCAGCACTCAGCTAGTGTTCGTGTTCTAAAGAAAGATTTAAGATAAGACATGTTTTAGGGCTGAAAGACAGCTCAGTGGTCAAAAGCAAGCAGTGTTCTTGCAGAGAACTCATTTGTTTTCAGTACCCACATTAGACAGCTCTACCCACAGACATATCTACATTTGAGCAACCGAACAAACAAACATATCTTTGCAACATAAAGTATAAAATGTGGAGTTGATGTGACAAAGAATAGGTTATCAATTCCTTTCAAACTTCACGATTACCATGGCATAAGGAAGAATATTCACTAAATAAAACTTTCTAGTAAATGACATATTTCAGCATATAGACAGCATTTATTTTGCTTCCCCCCCTTTTTTGGGGGGGGGGATCTGGCTGTTTAGCCCAGGCTTATCTAAAACTCTCTACTCTCCAGCCTTCCAAGTGCTGGAATTACAGGCTGGAGGCAAGCCTTACTGCATTTGCACTTTTGATGGAATACTTCATCCACATAAAAGTGAGAATATGCCTGAATCTAAGGTACTTTCCAATCTTGGTACTTAGGACCTGAGCCATACCCTAAGATGAGAACACATCTGAAAGAACACAGACATCTGACTCGAGTTTTATTAATGTGGTTTCCAATTTAAGGTCATATTGGTTGTTAAAAAAATACTCAGTATATCAATTCTTCCCAAATTCTTAAAGATAGTCCATATAGTCATGACACGGGTTGCTGCCCAAACTAGTTGTTAAAAGAAGTCCTAATTGACACTTGCAACAGACAGTGTGTGTTATTAGAAAAGAGAAACAGTTTTCATTGTAACACTTCTAGACTCCTAGTGCTGGAAACCTCTGAATAGGATCCAGGTTTAAAGGGGGAAAACATGCAGGGTGC